GTATGGTACTTGAACGACTCTGTATAATTGCAATAACATTCTATAAATATAAAAATGATCTTGATTTTAATGAAATTATAATTGCTATTGAATTAAAGTTTAGAAAATATTAAGAAGACTTGCCTATATTATTTTATTTAGCATGCATAATGGACCCTCAATATATTTTATCGGGAACTAAATACGTTGTTGATCAAATCAACAAAATCTCAACGTTTGATACATCTATCACCTATAGGAATTTAGAGCAAATATTATATGAAATGTATGAATTATATGCAGATCGAATGGGTGCGAATGTTAATCGAATACCCTCTGCACATACTCCTCAAGCTGAAATTGAAGAAGATGACGCCGAAATAATGAATTTATTTCAAAACATTAATACATATAGATATGATGCAACGGTAATGTGTTTATCTAGTGCCATGTCGTCTACATCTGCATCTCATCAAAATGCGATGCCTATCGAATTAATTGATTACTTCAATTAGAATATGCCAACAAACAAAACAATTAAAAAAAGTTCATAAAATGTAATTGAATTCTGGCGAAAGTATGAAAGATGTTGGTCAGTTGTTCCTGTAATTGCGAAAGATTTGCTGACACCTCCGGTGAACACTGTTGCTTCGGAGTCTGCTTATAGTGCAGGTAAAAGGGCTTTAACCGATTTCAAGAGCTGACTGAAAAGAAGATGTTTTGGAAGCGTTAATGTGCGTAAAAGATTAACAGAATGTTCATTTTCGATTACAAGATAAATATGCTGAAATTACACATCGTTAGGTAAGTAATATTTAATTTAATTATATAAATCAAAATTTTTTATTTTTTAATCGTTACATTTAATTTTCTTTAAAAGATTGTACACGTTGCAACAAGTTGTTTGTGTATAATTTTTAATTCCGCTTACTTAAAATTAATGTAACCGATCTCAAACCCGAATAAAATAGGAGGGTTTATATTTTATCTATTTTAAAAAGAAAACGAAAAAAATATATTTTTCATAAATGTATTTCAAAAAAAAATCGCCTTTATTATATAAATGTTTAATATTTTATAGAAAATATTACTATATGATAGAAATTTAAAAAAAAAAAACAATTGTCTTCATTAATTTTTTTTTAAATGCATTTGTGTTTTATACATATATATATATATAAGATGACGAGTTCGAGAGCTAAAGATCAGCTCAGCCCACAAGCTCTTGTGTATACGGGCTGGGCCGAGCCTCCCTAATAACGAGTGGACGGACGGATGGAATATTCTTGGCTATAACAAACAATTTAACGAACACGCATGCGGCCAAACCAAGTTCCCATTTATTTATTCCTAAATTCATATTTTTGTTGTGTAACCACTCCACCACGTCATCTTAGCTCTAGGATGCCACACCACCATAACTTAGTGCCTGTAAACTCTACCCATTATCTTAATTCTTGAAAATACCCTTTCAATTTTCACTTTTTAAGTAGCTGAATTAAGAGCTCTCTCGAGTGTCACCTCCTTTTGATTTGCCCGGAAGGTAAAATTCTCTAATTTAACAGAATTTGAATCGCTTTTTCCTTCATCTTCTTTAAATCATTTGGTTATAAGCTGGTTTTGCTAAAAAGAAACAATCTTGAGTTGGGATTTTATAGGGAAAAGATTAATGAAATTAACTGATAGTGTGCTTGAAAGGGTGTTCAAAAGTTACTGCTTTTTATTTTTCTGTGTTTGGGTTCTTTGATTCGAGTTACATTCATTTCTTTGCAATTCTATAAACAAAATAAAATATCTGAGTTTTTGGGTAGAATTTTGAGAGGCATAAAAGGTTGGAATTTCTTGTTCTTGGCTAAATGTAAGTATGTACACAAACTATTTGCTTTAGGGGTTCAGGTTCTTGATATGGATAAAAATAAGATTAATTTGAAGTTAACTGAGAGCGGATTCTTTGTTTCGAGTTACGTCTATTTCTGTGCAATTCAGCAGTTTATAAAAACAAAGAAATATATCTGGGTTTTTGAGGTAGAAATTTGAAAAGCTTTAAAGGTTAGGATTTCATGTTCTTGTCTAAATTCAAGTATTTATGCGAACTATTTGCTTTTGGATTCTTGATATAGATATATTTTAAGTATGACATGTATTTAGAGTTTCAGGGTTGCAAATTTGGAGCTCGTTGAATTCATAAACATTTTTTTGAAGAAATATTGAGTTTCGAAATGTCCCAATTTGGACATGTTTCTGCTGTCAATTTGAGAGGGCAAAGTAAATTAAATAATCTTTGGAGCTCTCAGTCTTGGAGATGCTACTGTCTTGATGGGAAAATGAATACACTATCATTTGCAAGTAGTGATGCTATGGGTCGTAAATTGAAGAGTCCTTCTGCTAATGCTTTTATGACGAGATCAAGAAAAGATGTGCCCCCATTGAAGGTCTGGCCCCAAAGAAATGCTAAATGATTAGGGGTTTGTGAAATGTTAATGAATGAAGAACACATTGATGTTATTTTCGTTATATAGGTTGTTTGCATTGACTATCCAAGACCGGAGATTGAGAGTACAGTCAATTATTTGGAAGCTTCTTATTTATCTTCAACGTTTCGTAACTCTCCACGTCCAAACAAACCATTAAAGATAGTCATTGCTGGTGCAGGTGGGAATAACATTTTCCCTTTATCTTTTAAATAGTTTTTCCCTTTTCTGTTTCTTGAGCAAATAGATTAAAATTCCAGCGAATTCACATACCCTTTTACACTATGACTAAAGTGTAGTTAGCTATTAGTGCTTTATGCAATTCGGTGGTGAATTTTGTTTAGAAATTTAGAATGTTATTTTGTAATTATTTATCTCAAAGTATCCCAACTTCCCTTGGGAATAAGTACAGTTGTGTCATGTAAAAGTGATATCAAGTATATTCCTCAACATAGGATTTCTTTACTATCCTTTTCGACAAATCCAATCAACGAGTTGCTTTTTAATGGATTTTTATGTCAATCGAATTCTATAGTTCATATTTTGGACTTGTATATATTTTTCTTTCTCACATTGTACTTTTTGAATCTATAGGTAGAAACTAATATAAATACTACACTGAATTTAGTCAAAGATTTATATAATGTAATCATTCACCTAGTGCCGATGAGTTGAACTACTGGATGCTTGCAGGTTTGGCTGGTTTGTCTACTGCAAAGTATTTGGTCGATGCAGGTCATAAACCGATATTGTTGGAAGGAAGGGATGTCCTGGGTGGAAAGGTTTGTAAAATGCTTCCTTGCTGACGTTCTTTTCAAAACTATTCTTTTATGCTTAAAATGTTTCTTCTCTGAATTTGTCCCTCATTGAGCAGGTCGCTGCATGGAAAGATGATGATGGAGACTGGTATGAAACTGGGTTACACATATTTTGTAAGTCTTTTGTACTCAGTTGCAACTTTAAATACATTGTGTTATGCATCAAATCACTTGTCAATTTGATTATATATTTTCTTTAAGTTGGGGCTTACCCAAATGTGCAGAACCTATTTGGAGAGCTAGGCATCAATGACCGGCTGCAGTGGAAGGAGCATTCTATGATTTTTGCAATGCCAAGCAAGCCAGGGGAATTTAGCCGATTTGATTTTCCTGGAGTCTTACCTGCACCATTAAATGGTGAGTTGTTTATTTTATCATTGGAGAAGCCAAGGATTGAAATGAGAAAAATCCTCTAGTTACTTTTCACACAACTATGCCTTTAATACTTGAGACGACGTGCACGATAGGTTTCCATTTATGTGTTTCATAAGGGTCTGTAGGTGGTGCATAAGGATGCGCACGTTTTTCTACTCTATTGTTTCCTTGTGTAAAATTTTATTGTTATTGGCAGGAATATGGGCAATCTTGATGAACAGTGAAATGCTTACTTGGCCAGAGAAAGTCAAGTTCGCTGTAGGACTCTTGCCAGCAATAATTGGTGGACAGTCTTATGTTGAGGCTCAAGATGGTATAACTGTTAAAGACTGGATGAGAAAGCAAGTACGAGACCTCAATATTGTTAGATTTATCTCAAATTTCCTTTACAACAGAGTTGCATCAGTATCTTTTTGGCATTGTGTCTTTTTTTTTTTTTTTGGGGGGGTGT